TTTTTGCGGTACGCGGGCCTCTCACTGTTGTGGCCTCTCCCATTGCGGAGCACAGGCTCCAGACACGCAGGCCCAGCGGCCATGGCTCACGGGACAAGCCGCTCCGCGGCATGTGGGATCTTCCCGGACCGGGGCACGAACCCGTGACCCCTGCATCGGCAGGCGGACTCTCAACCACTGTGCCACCAGGGAAGCCCTGGTGAGATGTTTTTTAACCTTTAGTTTGAGTTTTTTCCCCAAGTGTACTTAATCACCTTAGTGCCAGTTTAATCCAGTTATGCAGAAGAAATTCATATTGGATGTTTGATGCAGAGCTCTGTGCCATCCTACCCCAGGGCTTGCCTGGTGTACTTGGGAAGTGGGAAAGAGCTCTCAGTTGGAGGGATCTGACCACCCCTGATGGATGGAGGGGTGACCTTGGATGTATTAAAACCATCACCCATAGAAGGTTCATAAACAGGGTTGTGGCCAGTTGTTTGCCAAGTTGATAGATGAGAATACATTAGAAAATAGGACCTAAGATCAAAGAAACATACTTGATAGTGAATACAAAACAACGTGCGATCACATGAAGGGTTTTCAGAAGTTGCCTGCAGAGGAGAATATTGCTTTAATAATACGCAGTGGAAAGAAACTGCATTTAGAACCCAAACAAAAACTGCCAAATCTAATTACATTAAGAAGAGTTACCTTTGGGCAGTGTATTAGTTTTCTATTGCTGTGTAACAAATGACCCCAAACTTTGCAGCTTAAAGCAGCACTCATTTCTTAGCTTACAGTTCTGTAGCTCATGAGTCCAGCACAGTATGGCTGGATTCTCTGCTCAGGGTCTCACAAGGCTGAAATCAAGGGTCAGCAGGGCAGCATTCCTTTATGGAGGCTCTGGGGACGAATCTGCTTCCAAGTTCATTCAGATTGTTAGCAGGATTCAGTTCCTTGCTGGCTGTCAGCCGGGGTCCTCTTTCTCGGCTCCTTAAGGCTGCTCGCATTCCTTGTGTGCTTCCCTCCATCTTCAAACCAGCAATGGCCCATCGAGGCCTTCTTCTCATGCTTCAGGTCTCTCTGCCTTCCTCCTCTGTTTTAAGGTTCGTGTGATTAGATCAAGCCCACTGAGATAGTCTCCCTATGTTAAGGTTAGCTGTGCCACAGAACATAATCACAGAAGTGGTATCGCATTTACAGGTTCCTGGGATTGGGGCATGAAATAGGGGGAGGGGCATTTTAGAATTCTGCCTCCCACAGGCTATAACTTCGCCTGTTGTGCTGTGGGTAGAATTTTACCCTGAAAAGCTGGGCCCTAGAAGCCTCGTTTGTTTTCTCCATGGAAAAGAACAGCCCTCAGCTGCAGCATTCAACTTGTGTGTTTACTGAATGGACTACAGAAATAGCTTTTCTTCATAAAGGGGATTGTTCTGTATTTTAAGTTATTTTTTAATAAAATTGAATTATGTGTATTGTGCTTCTTAATAGACAAGGCATTATTGGACTGGTTTTATAATGTCCTGTTCACTGCAAATGAAACATGATATAGCTGGTATTGTTCAAAAACCGTAGAAAATACTTTTGTACATATTGGTAATGTCTGATTTGTATACACTTCATTTAAATTTCCCTAAAACTGGAAAGGGGGGCCTTGTAGACATTAAAATATATACTTAGTCTAAGTTTGAGTCTGTGCATGTTTCCTCCTTCTTTATTCATCCAGACTTCAAATAGTCTTTCTGAAATGGAAAAGGAGACATTGAGTCTCCTTGCTGATCCAGCCAGTGAAGAGACCTCATCTCATCTGCCTGTGGCTTGTTTTCGTCTTCTGGCCAAGTATTAGTGGTAGGGCACGAGGTGGAGCTAGAGAGAACTTCAGGCAGAAATGTTCACCTATGCAGAGAACCATTGATGGTGCTTGGTCTTCCTTCCCCTGCCAACTCCACGTTTCTTCCGGGCTCTGTTGTCATCCAGCTGAGGTGACCTGCATATAACAGATGCCTTTGCTGAGGAGGGAATACGTCCCCGCCCCGCCATCTGTGAGATGCTGCCTAGGGACAGCATGTTTACCTGCTACGCCACCTGCAGCCTCCACCTTCCCTCCCTAACAGTGGTTCACCAGGCAGGCACATAGCACTCTCTCCTGGAGAAAACATTCATGGTGATATTTTTAGCATCCACATGAGAATTTGCAGGACAAGTACAATTAACTTTATTCTCCTCAGAACTCAAAGGGATTTGTACTTTCTTAGTGAATACAACATAACCTCACACAGTAAGATTGGCAGAGGTTCAGTTTTCAAAGTTAACAGTAAACCCCCAAGTCAGGCAGTTGCTGAAAACAGGCAAATGTGGATGTGTTGCCTTAAAATTTAAATGAAAGTGTAGAGTCTTGTTTGCTGTAGGGAAATCCCCA